TATATATATATATATAATAGCATATAGTAAGTACATAAATAAATAAATAAATAAAGCAAGCAAGCAAGCCACAAGAACCCATGCTTTAGAATTACATGTTTATTTATTGACTTTTATTTTTACTTACTGTGGCTTTATAAGTCAATCAATCAATCAATCAATCAATCAACAAGAACCCATGATTAAGTACAAACTACAGGCTATTTACTGTTTCAATAGCGTCTAGCAATATGCCGCATCCATATATAATTCTCCTGCTGTGCCTCACTGGTGTGTGTAAATCGTCTTTGAAAGTAGCTCATCCAATCAGATTTTAACCCTGTTCGTCCAATAATTAGCACCCCACAATAACAGCTTTGCTTTATATGACAATGTGCGAGTGAAATGTGCTTATGTAAGCTGCCCTGCTCAGCTGTTGAGTTTAAATGAGAGAAGCAGAACGAGTAGGAGGCAAGAGTGTGAGAACTGATGTTGCGAGGGACAGAGAAAAGGATCGCCGGAGGGAAAGAAAAGAAAGAGAGGTCATCATAAAAGCTATAGAGAATGATTTAAAACACTTGGCATGAACAGCAAGAACACAGACCGATCTCCATCGGCTCTCCCTCGTTTGGTCTATCGCTCTTCAGACGGTTTCCGTCCCAGCGAGAGTCAGTGTTTTAATCAACAAGATGAAGGACTGAAACACAAGCAGCTCCTCAGATAAAGCTCACTGCTGCGCCTTTAACAGAGCACAGAGATTTCAAAGGATTCATGCCACGGAAAACAGGATTTGCTCTGCCTTTTTCCAGTCACAATGTGATGCGGCGTTGCAAAGAGGCCACTATTGAAGGACGGGTCAGTGCAAAGCAGACTGAACCAACTGCAAACCCATGATGTGCTACATTCAGAATAGCATACTATCATAATTATCTGTCTATGACTGTAATATAGTACATATAAGGTGCATAAACATTTTCTGCAAGGAATGTGCAAAATGCAATGCTTTCAACCTGACTTTCCACTTCCTATGTGAAAAATAAACCCAGAAGTGTTAAAACCACACACACACACACACACACACACACACACATATATATATATTTACCCTCAGCTTCTTTAGCAAGGCAGTGATCGTCTTGGAGGTGTGTTTGGGGTCGTTATCATGTTGGAATACTGCCCTGCGGCCCAGTCTCCGAAGGGAGGGGATTCCAGATCATCAAATTGTAAATATACATTAGGATTTTAATTAGATTTTTGCAAATTTTTCTTTTTAAAATTAAAAATTGTTCCTACTGTAATACTACTGAAAAACAATCAAATCAAATCAAATCAAATAAAAATGATATATAAAATATAATATCTAACTTCTTTAATACAGTTTTCATTTTTGCATGATGAGCTTATTTTCATGACACTTACCCACATTTAAAATCCCCTTCCCAGTAGCCCACTAATGCAAAAATATTCTTACTCCTGTTTGTTTGTTTTTCTATTTAAAAAATATTGAATATTGTTCCAAGTCCTGCAGCAGCTTGAAAACATCTCCTGCCAGATAACACACGGCGCAGCCGCTCTCGGCCCTGAAACCAATCTAAACCTCGTTTAGCTCATTAGTATTAACTCAAGAACTCATCTGATTAGTTGAGAATGTGCCTGCAGGGTTAATGAATGGAAGCAAAACATCCCCCATTTCCTACCAATGACATTACAGCACTAATCTAATAATATAAACCAATAAATGACCTACTAAAGAGTCATCGCTTCCCACCGGGACACAGATCTCTCCTGCTTCAAATCACACACAGCAGCGCTGAACGCTATAATAGCACAGCTGTCACATGACCACACAACCCGTGCCAACACACACACAGGTACGAACAACACACCTGCTGAACATCTCAAATCATCTACTAAAGATGGTCTATTGACATGCAGATCTTCTCTGTGGACAATTTACAATCAATAATAATGCAAACAATACAGTTTCACTATGCAGCTTTAGTAAGGAATATTTATGAAATATACAGTACCTTAAGGAGTTCTTTAGGAAAATCATGGCCGCTGTTTAGTCCTTCCAGATTCCCGATGAACTGAGTGCAGGACATTCGCTTGCCAACATTCTGCCAATAGAAAAGACCAACACACACCTGTTAATAGTCCTCATTCATCTGCGCAATAACACCGAAATCAACAGCATTCTGACTGACCTTTACACATTTAATTACAGAGCAAAAAAAAATAATAAAAATAATAATATATATATACACACACACATATATATAAATATAGCATTGTGACATTGTTTGCATAACACGTGACATTTAAAATGCAATTAATCCCATTTTTTTCAGTATTTCCCACTGTAGTGTGAAAAATATTCTTACTTCTATAAAGCAACAACAATAATAATAATAATAGTAATAAAATATTATTAAATACACATAATATTACATACTTTTTAAAAATATTATATTTTCATACCATTTTTTAATAAAAAACTTTATTTATTTATTTGCAAAAACAATTTGTAATTTTTGAAATACTAAAATGACCAAAACTTAAATAAAATGAAAGCTAATCTATCTATCTGTAGTATTTGTAATAATCTATTATTTTGTACAAATTGTCGAAAAATAGGCATTAGGCAGCGTGATTTTCTTTACATTTTGGCAATAAGAAATTGGCAGAAAATGTGCTTAATAGTCATGAAGACAATACCATAATGCAGAAAAACTTAATGGACCTAAAAATAAACCTAATTTTATTTATGGAAACCAAAATTCCTTCCTTTTCCCCTTAGATTCTTGTTATAAAATATTTCCAGGACATTTCGTCACCAGATTTGGCTTATGATGCATTAAAAGGTGCTCAAAAAGTGTGTAAGTTTGTAACTTATTGCACATTTTCAGGTGAGATGTCAGAGTCGGGCATTTTCCGCCTCTGAAAGTCAGCATGAGATGTCCTACATTTAAGCTGCGAGAGCATGAATATATGCATGTCTGGAGCTGCAGAAAGGCTCTGGAATACATCATCTGATATTGTGGACTGAGGAGTTACATCAGAGGAAAGCTGGAATCGCTCACAGCTCTCATCAGGACCATAAACTTGTTACCATGGCGACAGCGAGTCTGGTCTATAACAGGCGTCATGTGTTCGCTGACGGCCCTAAACCCTTTAACAAAAGCACAGGAGCCACGCTAAATATCCTGCCAGCAGACAGACATCAGCAGTGATTGACAGACCACAGATCCCTCCAGACGTCCATCTTCCAGTGCTGAAGCTTGCACTCCACACAGTTACACTAAGAGCCTTTCTGGATTATTTTCTTTTATTATTCATTTTGTTCTTACAAACTGAGATAGAAGTCAGAATTATTGTTTGCAACAGTATTTCTGAGCATATAGAGCTGTTGACGTCAATTTGTAGGCCAAGCCGGAAGACTAATTGGCTACAGGATAGATTAGCGGATAACAGACTTTCATGTTTTGTTCTATAACAAATTACACACGTCAAACATGATCTCTGAAGCCCTTTAAAAACATAAGTTATGACATAAGAACTACAACTATCACATGGATGCGAGTTTAAAAGTCAGACAATCATATCAGTCAGCAACATGGTAGCAACTTATTTTACTTCATCAAAAATCAAAAACTGCTGCTCTAAAAATCATTTCCCCCCTGGCATTTTCAGAGGAAAACTACAAGAAAAAATGCATAATGCATTGTGACATACTCGCATGCTCAAATGGTACAGAAAAAATGTATATTAAAACTACACTTATAATTGATTCAATACAAAAAAATTCAAATAAAAAATATGGTAAAGTATCTAATTAAAAACTGAACACTGCAGTATCTGTGTGCACTATGCATTTTATGCTTATTAGATTATTGCATTAATAGCTTATCAACATGTTAATGATAAACTGTACTGAAATCAATAGTGATTTGAATCTCCAGCTGTGTTGCTATTGTTAACTTCAAACTAATACTATAACTATTTGGTTCGTTTTTGGTACCTGAAATGAAGCTTAAATGAAATTAAAGATAATAATAAAAATAAATATTAGATGTAAAACTTAAATTTAAAAACACTTAAATGAAAGTTAGAAACTGAAAAAAAAAACTGAAATAAGTTTAGCAAAGTTGAAGTACTAAAATTTCTAAAACTAAAACAAAAATAAGCTAAAGAGAAAACTAAGACAAATAAAATAAAATGAAATTTAAGCAAATTAAAATGAAAAATTTTGCCTTCACAACTTACTGAAATATGTTTAAGTTGAAGAACTAAAATCAGTAATATAATGTATAGAAATTAGTGCTGTCAAAAGATTAATCGCGATTAATCGCATCCAAAATGAAAGTTTTTGTTTGCATAATATATATGTGTTCTGTGTGTATTTATTATGTATATATAAATACACACACATACAGTATATATTTTGAAAATGTTTACATGTATTTACATGTCTATATTTATATTCATGTAATTTATATTTAAAAAAATATATTTAATATATAAACATAACATTCTTCTGAAATATATACATGCATGTGTGTGTATTTATATATACGCAATAAATATACACAGCACACACATATTATGAAAACTTTTATTTTGGAAACAATTAAACGCGATTAATCGTTGGATAGCACTAATAGAAATATAAAAATAAACACACAAAATAAAATATAAATATTACATGAAAAGTATAAAAAAATAAAAAACAAACAAAAACAGAAATATTGAAACAAAATAAGTTGAAGCGCTAAAATGACTAAACTAAAAAAAAAAAAGATATAGGAATGTAAAAAAACAACTATAAAAATGACAAAAAGCACATAAAAATCCCTAACATAGTGATTTGTGTCTCCTTTTGCTGCCTGTGTTAAGGATTCAAGTTCATGTACATTTTATTGACTTTTCATTTAAATTGTAATGCTGACAATATAATTTGCCGTAAAAAATTTATTAAACTTTAAAAATATGTGGTCTCAGCCTTTTGAAACCATGAGTGCATGTTCTTGGATGTGTGCTGAGATGAAGATTTGACCCTGCATTACTGTTGTCTGTGTGGTGAAGTGATAATACGGTGATTTGATAGAGTTGACTCACGTGGCCGTGCAGGTCTGTGTTGAGCAGCATAAGAGCACAGGTCAGCGTGTGGACACAGTCTGTGAAATACAACCACACAAATACACATTTACACATGTACAGTCTGTTTCATCAAGTGACACACACACACTGAGACAGAGCTGTACCTTCAGATAGCGTGAGAGAGGAACTGCACTGCACATATCGACGGGAAAAGTGTGCTAAGATCCGCTCTCTCTCCTGCGTCTCACCTGTCAGAGCAAACTCTAGCAGAAATGCCCTGAAAAAAAAAAAAACACAAACAATAATAAACAAATGCCCTGACATTAACACACAATGATGAAAAAATATTATAAGCCAATGTCATGATAACAATTTATGCAAGTGAAAATTAAATATAAATGTAAAATGCTAAAATTCATATAGGTGTCAAGTATTTCTAAATTGACTTGACAACATTGAAATGAGAGACAGAGCTGTGTGTCATCAGCATAGCAATGGTAGGAGAAGCCATGTGCCTGTATGATGGGACCCAGTGATGTCGTGTATATGGAGAAGAGGAGGGGTCCAAGAACTGATCCCTGAGGAACCCCAGTGACCAGTTGTCTACTTGACAAATTATTATTTTTTTTTATTTAGTACTTTAGTATTACTAATATAAATATTACTACTAGTAAATTATTTCTTATTAATATTAATTATAAACAATTATAAACATAATAATTTATAGAAAAATAGAATCTAGAATATGCAAATTATTATTTTTATTTAGTACTTTAGTATTACTAATATAAATATTACTACTAGTAAATTATTTCTTATTAATATTAATTATAAACAATTATAAACATAATAATTTATAGAAAAATAGAATCTAGAATATGAACACACACACATATACATACATAGTGTGTGTGTGGGCATGTATACACACATTTTTGTGTATATTTAAAGCAGAGGTGTAAAAAGTACTCAAATTCTACTCAAGTAAAAGTACAGATACTTAAGTGAAAATTTTACTCAGGTAAAAGTAAATGTATCTGGTCAAAAACATACTTGAGTAAAAGTAAAAAAACTTCAAACTGTACTCAAGTATTAAAAAAGTAAAAGTAACCCCCCTAGTAACATCACTTGTGATACTATAAAATAGGTATGTTTAATGCACTGAAAAAAATAGTAGAAAAAAAAACGACTTAGAAATTGCTAGTACAAAACAACCCCCCCCAAAAAAACATATGTAACATTGAATTAAATGTGACATTTTGAAGTAGAAAGACTAAAATGAAGTAATATTCTAAAGAATATACCGAATAATATACTGAGTATTTTCTTATAAAACATAAAACATTAGTTCAATAATAATTATTTTTGTTTGTAGTTTAACAAAAAGAAAAACATTTTTCATTTACATATTTAATGTGCTGACCTTAGTGCTTGGTCCAAAGTCATTTCAGTAAAATTGAAGTAGTGCAGATATTCCTCTGCCACCAGGCGACTGAAGTCATTGCTAAAAAGGAATCAGATACGAAAAGACAGTCAAAGAGGATGACAATGCAAGAACAAACAAGGGAGACACGGGAGGAAGGGTGACAGACGCGACCAAGGCCTGTCAGAGATTCACCGCTGGATGAACATTCCCATGATGCACCTGTCAGAGAGAGAAGAGCTCTTAAAGTACAGATGCTGTGAGCAATAAAAGCAGAGCCAGAGAATAAAAGCTGCATGAAATCCTGCTTTATATAACAGCAGCACAGAGACCGGCACAGGACTAACAGAGATGGTCAAACCACAAGGTCAGAGAGAAGATGCTCAATCTTAAAAGTCAACATGAAATCAAAACTGACTGCATTTAATTTCTAACATGTTCTTGTTTTTACTGTGAACAATACAGGAGCGCATGTTATTCCAAAAAAAGTATTATTGTGTTCAGAAACATGTAATGACTTGCTCCGCTTCTGACATAAAAAAATAAATAAAATTAAAACAAAAAAATATAAAAATGCATGAATACACAAGAAAAAAAAATTATAGCATAATGTATTGCTAAGATATGTGTTATTGTTATAGTTAACTGAAACGATTAAAAATCATTTAGTTAAATGAAATAAAGCTGAAATAACAAATTTTAGATGAAAAACACTGTTGCCTTGTTAACTGACTGAAATAAGTACTAAAATTACTAAAAATGATCTCAAAACATATTAAACCTAAATAGAAATACAAGAAGAAAAAAATAAAAATAAAATGAAGAAAGCACATACCAAAATAACTAAAATGTAAACTTAAATTAAAAAAACTGAAAAATTGTCTGTGTATATATATATATATACACACACACACACACACACACACACACACACACACACACTCTCTCTCTATATATATATAATACACGCATATATAAAAAATAAAAAGACGAAAACTCCGAAGCGATAACTTTTTAGATTGTTGCACCGTTAAAAAGTGTGATACTTTGCTTTATATATATATAATTCACTCGCATATTAAAATTAACATTAGTTAACTCCATTGGTTTACATGAACTAACAATAACTACAGCATTTATTAATCTTAACATTTACTAATATATTTGATCAAAAGTTGTATCTGTTAACATTAGTTAATGCACTGTGAACTATTATGAACATTAACATTTTTATTAACTAATATTAACAAACGTAAAAAAATGCTGTAAAAATATATTGCTCATTGTTAGTTAATGCATTAACTAATGTTAACAAATGAAACTATTGTAAAGTACCATATATATATATACAGTGGGTACAGAAAGTATTCAGACCCCCTTAAATTTTTCACTCTTTGTTATATTGCAGCATATATATATATAAAGTAACAAGACTAGCAATACTAAATAACACTAAAATAACACGCTTGAAGAGGATTTACTCACTTTTTACTCAAATGACGTGCAACATCGCACTTCCTGAAGCCGTCGAGGTTGAAGAGCCGCTTGGCCAGACGTTTGGCAGAGTCCAGATCAGCGCGGTTACCGTTACTGAGAGTGTCATTACTGCCCAAACCTAAACGCTCGCTCAGCTCCTGATCCAAATCTGGGTCCGCAGCAAAGCGAGGAGATTTCTCTCTGAACAAACACACAAATAACATCATTCTGCTGTGCTGAAGCCAATAATGACCTCTGAAAGCCGAGCTGGTGACGTGAAGCTTCCACCACAATCAAATCCTGAACTACATTTTCTCAATGAAAATAATGTGGGGTGTTTTTTCATGGTAACTTTAAGTACCATGCAAATACATGGTGTATAAGCATGATAATCATTCATACCATAACACATTACCAAACCACCGCACCACTTTAGCTTTTTTAAAGGATGAAAACCGAAATAGACTAGGACGCACCATCTCATACAAGATGTACCTTGGCACTTTCCTATAAGAAGCACAAAAACCATTATAAGATATATAAGCTTACTAAAATATATGGTGAGTTCTGACACACCTCCATATTATAATTTCCCACATTTTCAATAATATAATCATAAAGTCATTACAAATTGAAGTATGGGAATTACATAGTGACCAAAAACAAATTGTTAAACAAATGTTCTTCAAACTACATTCAACTAAATGCCATGATAATGAAAAGATATGTTGTAACATTGACGTAACTGTAGTATCTGTGGGATTTTGGCATAAATCGTGGTAACCAAGCTAAATTATAACCACAAACAGCTTTACAGTCAGAAATAATTTCCATTTTGTAGTTGTGTTAAATTGTTATTGCGCCCTATTGATCTGATTTCCTCTGGTTTCTATAAATGTACGTGGGACAGCAGTCCTCATCTAACCCCTTCTTATCAGTGACTCACACTAAATCCACACCAAAAACAAACCATGAGCAGAAATGTGTGAAACTCAAACAAAGACGTCTGGAAGCACAGAAACGCTTCTTAAAGAGACAAGCACGACAAATGAGTATTTCCTCCATATCTGGGTTATTAGCGTTGACTGGAACTAAAACTAAAGCCATCGTTTTTTTTTTTTAATTACTTGAAATAAACGTTACATAATAAACATTAACAAATGAAAAAAAAAAAAAACGTATTTAATTTCAGCTAGTTGCCAAGGCAAAATTTCTCATGAACCCAAACTAAATCCTCAAATCCAAACGGATTTACTTGGAATAAAAATCATTAACTGAAATGAAATAAATATATAAAAATTTACAATTTTATTATTTAGTTAAGGTTGAAGTAAAATAACTAAAACTAAATAAACTGAAATTCAGTTCAAACTATATACACGCATTTGAAAATAAAAATAAAATAGAAATGAAATAAAAATGACAAAAAATAAATAAAAATAAAATCTAATTCAAGATATCGACAAAAACCATAACAGTAATAATAGCAACTAAAATAACACTGTTCCATATTTCTGGAAGGAAATGGGAACAATTTAGAAGAAATAGCTTTGTAAGGCCCAAAGAGAAAAAAAATGCATTAATAAAAACAACTTAACTGTAACCATTTGAACATTTTATGACGATTCTCAAAAGTGAGTGTTGTTTGCCCATTGTAGGTGTTCTGGGTTGTTTCTAGTTTTATAATACCAAATAATGAGCAATAACAACAGTTATGCTTTTCTTTTCTGCTTAATACTGCTATACTACATTCATTAGGACATTGACAAATTAATACAGCAATACAGTGCTGATCCGCATCCTATCCAAACAGTTTCTACCTGTACGGTGTGTGGCAGCGGGTCAGGACGCTCCTCTCTTTCAGTGCAGAGCAATGCCAGCAAAACACTGAGTAGGCTTTTTTCCTCAGACCATCTCTGCCAAAACGCCTCTGTGATGTGACTCTCTGAGCCATGTTTGAATTAATGCTCAGCTTTTCGCTGTTCACCTGAGCCGTTTGTCCAGCGACTGCGCTCTCAGTATCTCCTCAGGTGTTTGAGGACATCTCTATGAGACCAATGCTGCTGTTTGAATCTCTTTGTGACTGAATTAATCTGTTTTTAGTCATTAAATCTCTCTGTTGCAAAGATCCTGAAATTTCAATACATCCTGGAGCTGTTAAGCTTCCAATCCTGCCAGATACTTCCTTCCCAATGAGTTTCCCACTGCTTTCTCTCTCTTTGTGAATGTTGTTGACGCTCTAATGACCTTCTCAGTTCAGTGTGGCATGTAACATCTCTCAGTCTCTCCCTGAACGGTCTCCTCAGTTCACACGCACTTTAAAATGTACAAACCACTTGTTTTCTCTCCCATGATTCTCTATAATAGTGATAAAGTAATTAATGAGTCATTTGATCACGTACACACACGGTTAACGAATACATTCACTCCTCTTTCTCTGTACACACAGTTTAGTTATTTATCAGTGTGACAGCCACATGTTACAACTAAAATCACTTAAAAGGTATTTACTTCTGCATTTACAGTAAGTGTGGCTGTCAGTCCTAAAACTTTGCAGTAGTTTTAGGACTGACAGCAGTACCATTTTGCGGTAAACATCCAATGAGTCAGTAGAGGTGACTTGATAGAAAACAAAATGCATCACAGCTTTCACAAAAATATGAAGCAGCACAACTGTTTTCAATATTGATAATCAGAAATGTTTCTTGAGCAGCAAATCAGCATATCAGAATGATTTCTGAAGATCATGTGACACTGAAGACCGGAGTAATGCTGCTGAAAATTCAGCTCTGATCACAGAAATAAATTACGTTTTAACAGATATTCACATAGAGAACAGTTAAAAGTCTAAAATCTAAATTTGACTGTTTTTTTACTGTATTTTTGATCAAATATAATGCAGCATTGGTGAACATAAGAGACCTCTCTGAAAAACATTTAAAAAAAGCTATATAGTGGAATATAGTGTATATTCCCACTTTGGGGAAGTCGTGGCCTAATGGTTAGAGAGTCGGACTTGTAACCCAAAGGTTGCGGGTTCGAATCTCGTACCGGCAGGGATTGTAGGTGGGGGGAGTGAATGTACAGCGCTCTCTCCCACCTTCAATACCACGACTGAGGTGCCCTTGAGCAAGGCACCGAACCCCCAACTGCTCCCCGGGCGCCGCAGCATAAATGGCTGCCCACTGCTCCGGGTGTGTGTTCACAGTGTGTGTGTGTGTTCACTGCTGTGTGTGTGCACTAAGGATGGGATAAATGCAGAGCACTAATTCCTAGTATGGGTCACCATACTTGGCCACATGTCACGTCACTTTCACTTAATGATTAACCTTATACTATTTTCTCTGTACTCCTACATAGGGGAAACACAGTCAAAACATAGAACGAAAGAGAGAAAGGGAGAAAAGTTGAGGTTGGGTTTTTCTGTGCCACTGGGCTTAACGTTTGCCTAAGCACCTCCACAATGCTGCTACTGTTCTTGCCATGCCGAACGAACAACACACACAACTGGCATAACAAATGAACATTCATTATAAGACAACTAAGGACTTGATTGATTCATAGGTTGGCTGACCAGTGCAAATCCATTATGTTGTTTTTATTTTAGTACTGGTGCACCTGATCCATATCCAACATAGGGATTTTCTATACAATACTTTGATGAAATGTGTGTGGTTTAATCAATACGGGTAATTGCATTAGTGATGCTTTTAATTCTAATATGCTTGATTCTACCTTTGCAAATAGCACTTATGAATAACTATCTCCACCTAGTGGTTTACTTTAGCCACTACAGGATGACAGTGTAATATTGCAGTGCAGTGCTGCACTGTGCCTCCAAATACATATAACATTTACAACATGTGATAACTTTTTTTTAGAAGACAAAAACAGAATACAGACATGGAACATATCACAATATTCACAATATTCATATAAATATTTATGGATTTATGGAGCAACATTCCTCTGATTGTGAAAATATATCTAATTTCTCAAACTATTCCAAGCCTCCTGGGTTTCTCTGTCTCCATGGTGATCCATGCGGCAGTAACTTCTGTTCTCTGCCAGCAATCGGCTTTGCCTTTTACCTGTCCTTCACACACACAGACACACACGCACGCACACACACAGACACAAATTGTTGAATAAAGTCGTTTTTTTTTGCGCACAAAAAGTATTCTCGTAGCTTCGTATAATTGCGGATGAACCACTGATGTCACATGGATTATTTTACAGATCTCCTTGCTACGTTTCTGGACTTGGGAACATTTCAGTTGCATTGCTTTCTATGCAGGGTCAGACAGCTCTCAGATTCCATCAAAAATATCTTAATTTGTGTTCCGAAGATGAACGAAAGTCTTACGGGTTTGAAACGACATGAGGGTGAGTAATTAATGACAGAATATTCATTTTTGGGTGAACTAACCCTTTAAGGGCACTGAGCTTTAGCATTTTTAAGCCCTGGGACAGTCTTGTGCACTTACTTTCTGTTGCATGCACGTGCTCTCAAGTGGCCAAAACCGGAAGTGTGAGTATTTGGACAAGCCCTTAGAATGGCATACTTCCATACTACACAGGTGACCTTTTACAAGCAGAGCACACTACTAAGTTTTCCTACCCAAAAAATTCAATTGCTCACTTTAGTGATGAAAATTACACAAACCTGGGCAGTGAAAGTGGTGGGTTGCTCTGCCAGCTTTGTCCGTTGCGGTCGTCGGACCCGCTGCTGAGACGTTCGCTGGATGGCGCCCGTGTGGCATCCGTATCCCCTGTTATCGTCAGCGCCGACTCTGACAGGCTGGGCATCTCTACATGTGCCAATGGTGCAAAGCTGAGCTCCACGATTTGCCGGGCGCTCTGGTAAATCTGACCCTGCACCTGTGGAGTCAGTGTGGGGAGGTCAAAGGTCAGGACAGTTTGAGTGCTAGAGGTCAGAGGGTCGAGACTGTCCAGACTGCTGTAGGAGGTGCCCTTGGCACGGTGTGACTCCATGATGTTCTCAAAATGCCGGCTGAACGTGTCCAAACTGTCTCCGGACCTTCTGCGAGGACCACGGACCAGGATGGGAGATTTTAGAGCTGGGTGGTTGTTACTGAAATGATCTTGAGGCCTAGAAAATGATAGGCTTGTTATTTCTGATATTCTGAACCATAACGAATCGTTTAACAGTTTCTTAAAAAGATAAATGTGTGTTTGCCACTTCCCACCTCTTTAGCATCATGCTGTAAAACTCCTCTTCCTCGTCTCGCTGATCAGCCAACAGCCTCCTCACATCGCCCTGCATCCTGACAGTGACCCAGCTCGCAACATCCTCCTCCTCCTCCTCCCCATCCTCCTGTCCATCTGTTCTTTCATTCGGCATCTCTCCTAGAGGGCTGCTTCCAGCACAGGAAGTTCCCATGACACTTCGGTTACTTCCAAACGCTGAGTCAGCATCCTCTTGCTCTGCTAACAGCACCTCGTCTATGTCCGTCTCCCGGTAACATCGTAAAGGAACGGCGTCCAGATCGGTTTCGGAGTATTTCAAAGTTCGCCGAATTATGCCCGTTTTGGGGGAGGTGCCTGGGGCGGCAGGGGGCGGAGTCACTAGCTCCACCTCCACGTGTTGGACATCATGATTAGCTCTGAGACGAAGCTCCTCCAATGGCAGATATGAGGGTGGTATTGGGGTGGAGTGGCCACTTGGTGGAGCTGTGGAGGATTCTGGAACATCTAGGTGGACAACAAAAATATTTATTCAGCTACGAACTTAATCAGTTTGGTTCAATGGATACTGACAATGTTTTGTTGATGACTGTATTTCAGCTCGGTGATATTGTAGTGTTATTCCACTTTCATATGAGCACACTCAAACACTTTCATACACTTGAAACAGTCTAAACATATTTCTGCCTTAAAATAATCCTAGAAAACAGCACTTAAATTGCTAATGACGGAATCTAAGTGATCATTAAAACTGATACTAAAGAGGTCAACGAGCTACTCACTCTTCTCTCGTTCGCTGGCAGTGTTTTCTGCTGGAGTGCCAAACAGAAACTCCCACTTGGCACGAGCAATTTTCTGACAGTGCAGAGATGGACCTGGCACTAAAGAACCGCCATCAGACTGCAACACCCACACAATATAAACACATTAGCTTATAATAAACAGTGAACTCGATGTACTTGCAAACAAAGGGCCTCATTCATCAGAAGGAACTTGTTCAAACTGTTCTTAAAGCACTGTAATGAACAGCTAGAATTCAAGCATTAACAGGAGCTCACCTGTATTCCTGATGATGGGTGATCTGAGTGGTTGCTGTTCTGGCTGGACTCAGGTGAGATGCAATCTCTGTCTCCTAGGCTTCCTGTTACTCCACTAGAGCTCGGGGATGACCCAACCAAACCCTGGTGATCTCCAAACCCATGTTCGTCCTCTCCTCTCTCCCCCTCTTCTAATACTACCAGCCCTAGAAGCAAAGCCTGTCTTCTCCTCCATTCTGCCTGTCTCTGTTGCTGTGTTAGCCTGGTCATCTCCTCTATACTTTCCCCAGGGCTGTGGTTTGCTCCACATACCGAATTGCTCACATTCTCCTCTCCTCGTTCTAACACCTCAACCCTAACGCTTTTTCTGTAGACTGGACTGCTGCTCTTGAGATTACCTTCGAGTTTTTCTGACAAATTGAACTTCCCTTCATCTTTCTTTGCCTGCTCTTTCCACTGCTGCCTAGATGTCCAACTGACCGGAGAATCGTCCACACTCTGACCGATAAACAACCGCCTGGAGATCTCCACACTTTCTGCGACGACATGGTCATCCCAGTCCTCCTCGTCCAGGAACCAGGGTTCCCCAGATGTCCACTCCTCTCCAGTGTACTGTGGAGGCTTGTGACGGTGTAAAGTGGGGCTGTCAGAGACTGGCAGGTCAGCTCTAAGCTGACGAGGATCTCGGATTGGAGAACACACGTCTGCTTTGGACAGACTTGGACGAAGAAGACGAGATGGGAGGGCTGGAGAATCTGGGACAGAGCAGAATGAGTGATTGGCCAGGTCATCTCTTAAATCCAAGCTCTTAGTAGCTGGTGCTTCATGCAGGTGCGGAGGAACCCCATTTGTCGTAGAACGGTCTTCATGCACAGGTATGTTCATCTTGACAGCCGAATGCTGCACTGGACTCTGCTGTAAGGACTGGATTTCTCTAGAAGGATACCCATAGTTTGTGCTGCTTAGATTAGACGAACCCCCAAAAACAACGGGAGGAGGAGAACTTCGGACCTCGTTGAAAATTGTTGACACCTTGGTGGCCTCTTCTGCAATCTTGCGGGCTATCTCAGGGCTGTTCAGAGCTGAGGAGTTATTGCTTCCACTCAGCTGGTTCAAACCACGAGTGGGTGTGTTTGTGAGGCTGGTCCTTTGCCCTGACAGAGGCCTGTCTTCAGTCCGGCTTCCCCAACTTTGACTGACTGGAGCGGAGCAGTCTTGCTTTGAACTGAGATTCTGCATGGGGCATCCTTGGGACCTGGAGGTGGATTTCTGCTGGTTGTTGTGGGATGAGAAAGCATCTGATGCTGGGCTTTTGGGGACACCACACGCAGCTCCTACCGTGCCTGGGTCAGGATCATGGCGGTAGGCACTGCAGTTTGGCACTGGTGGGCCTGCCCAAGACTGGCATTGTTCTCTATTGCGTTGATGAAACTCCGGACTCCAGTCTGAGCAATGAGAAAACTTACACCTCAATTGGGGAGACCCAAATTCCTTAAGGGCTCGCTGTGTTGCAGCTTGACCGATAGGATCCAAAGTAGAACCCATATGCTGGTGAAATTGACTATTATTGCAGGTAGATTCCGCAGGTTGTGACCACACTGGGTCACTACACCTCTTACGTGGGCAAGCCGCAACCTCCTTTATTCCACCCGGACTATTACACGGACTCTCTACGGTTTTTACATGGGCCTTCTCAATGTAGCTGAAAGTGACCACAGACCTCTGTCCCTGCACTGGTTTAGAGTTCTTGTGATGGCTGCATGCTCGACAAGGTGTCTCAGGACCAGATGTCCGTCCAGAGTTTGACGAGTGGGCATGTTTTAATAGTTTACTGTCAATGTTGTTATTGAGGCCAGAGGACACTTCTTGGAATGGTTCCTGCTGGGGAATGCTACGTCTTTGAGGGGAATCCAGAGAATTGTGTGAAGGCTGCAGTCTGAAGCTAACATTTGGCTTGAATGTGCTGCTGGGTGGTGTGGGAAACCCAGATGCCGCCTGTGCTAATTTGGTCAAAGCTTCAACGGGACCGTCTTGCTCCACTGCCGTCTCACAGGAACTACCTTTTCCATCATGCTCTGGTGGGGATCTCACCTCCACATACAAATGAAGGACTTTCCCAGTTTGAGACATGGCGTCATAACAGTACAACACAAAGAGACACTGTGATGAAGACTGAAGAAGAGACAAACAGGGAGAGACAGGGATACTTTTTTCCGTTCTGGTCGGTTTGTGAATTCCTGTGACTTGTCTGCGAGTGTACTTTTAGTTCATGGAGATGCCGTTCTTCAGATACCCTCTCCTGCCAGACCAGCTACTACAGACGGAAATGGCATGGACCATTGCACCTAACACATGGAGAAAGGCAGACAATTAATAAATTGCAATTGTGCTACACATACATTTTGTGAAGTTTTTCCTTGCCACAGTCAGTCTTGGCTTTTTCAAGTTTTTAAAGCTTTAAACCTGATGTCATTAATGCATGTAAAGCTACTTTGAAACAACTTGTGAAGAGTTATACGAACAAAAATGATTTAAAAAATGTACATCATAGTACATCATGGGTTGTGTCATTTCATGTTGCTAAACAGGGCCTGTAAGGACAACTAAAATTGCTCCAAGATCCAAAACTTGTGAAACAAAGCAACAGGGCAGAGAAGTAGAGCACATTTCTCGGTCATGACATATCAGTAGAAGTCATCATGACATATCAGTAGAAATTAAATTATAGAGATGCAGCAACCTAATTATATCGGCAGCGGTCATCTGACTTTTTTTTTTCCACTGATGACATACTCATTCTATCGTTCACCCATCCATTTAACCAATGCGCTCTAATACTAAACAAACAGAGGGAATGTTCTCCAGCAGAGACTAAATACACCACTGAAAAGAGACTTCCAGACTGCATTTCATTGTCATACTCTTTTGAAATCGACTGAAGGTATTTTAGCTTTTTACAATATTTATTTTTAACAACGCCATTCTGTTCGAGAAATGCTAAATTGACCATCTGCATGAAGGGATGGGCTTATTTACTGCGTAGCAGAGAAATGAATCCCTAAAATCCTACATGGTTACACACACACATACAGATTTACGTCATGCGCTAAACCTCAGTGACTCATACAGTAAACTCCCATTCAGGCCTACAAATATTAGCAGCGTTTATATAGAACAGAATACTGATATGCCTTCCCCCAAACCATGTAAGGGACATTTCAAATAAGGGAATAAATCGACATGAATTGGGCATACAGCATATGCAGAATGCCATGATTGACCAATAAGAATCAAGTGCTCCATACATTTTCACACATGCACCAATACAAATAAGCAATGTGTATTATTTTACTTGGAAATATGATGCTGTTCTAGAAAAGTGCTTCCTGCAGCCTCCGAGATGCCTGGTGATTGACTGAAGGATCTCTCATGTGTGTTGCACACACACACATACACTAGTCTAACATGCTCTTCTGAAAGTGCAGGTGCATGTCATTGACTGCTGCTGCAGCACAAGGATAAATGAAAGCCGCTCTCATGTCAACAATCAATCAGTGAGACCCTCTAAAACAGTGCATGCATGCACACAACCTTTTACTTTTCAAAATGAAAACCTCCACTGCCACCATTTACTCCCAGAAATGCACTTTACAGGGAAGCCGTAATGTAAGCCCACACAACCGAAAGTAATGTACTTCTGCTGGCTCGCATTAAAAGTACATGCCTGGTATCTAGACCAGGTCAAGGTTTTGCTGGTTAGCATGCCCTAGTTAACCCCTGCTGGTATATGCCGTAACAACACCATCTGGACCCAAAAATATCCTTCTCCATTGATAGCTATTAGAAATGACAACATTTATGCATTTAAGCTATACATACATTTTTTTTGTCAATATGATCCAGCTGAACTTGAACACTAATTTGCTACAGATTTACAATGCCCTGGATGACCTGTGCACATTCAAAAGTACTCAAAAGTCTGAAACTACATAAACTACATAAAAAAAATAAATAAATAAAAACTATGATATAAAATGATTCTCAAAACATTAATTACTACTTTTCATCTCACAATTCTGTTTTTTTTCCCTCACAACTGAAGTTGACATTTCACAATTTGGACTTTGTTTCTTGCAAATCTAAGAAAAATAAGTCAAAATTGCAAGATAAACAGAATTGAGAGATACTGTATAAACTCAGAATTCTGACTTTTTTCTTTCAATTCCAAGTTTATGTCTCACAATTCTAACTTTTTACCCTCTGAATTCCTCACAATACAGATTTTTGTTAGTTAGTTTGTTTCTGCAACGGAATAAAACACATGGCAACATTTTCTCACAATTTAGACTGTTTACTTTATATCTCGCGATTCTAACTGTATATCTCGCAATTTCTACTTTTTTCTCATATTGGTCAAAAAGGGCAGAATTGTGTGATGAAAACTTTACCTTTTTTATTCTGTGGTGGAAACATCTACTAAACTGGCAACATATCAAAGCAAACTTTACATCGGAGTACACATTGTTGTAAAGAAGTTGTAAAGTTTATGCTTGGGGAAAAGGTGTTTATGCGTGCATTTGATTTGAGCGCACAGAACAGTCTTTTTGGAATGAGGAGTAAATAATGTCAGATGCATTTTACTTTTTTTGGGTTAACTATTGCTTTAATTGTTTAAGCAATTTGCACATCTTCTTACTTATCAAAATTTGATAATAAATCATTGACCTGATTAATATTCATGAGATAAGTGAGTCCATTGCAGCCTCACTCTTCAAAATGTGCGTCTCTGTATCAAAACACACGTGTACAAGCAATCTAATACACACACACACACACACAGACACGCCTTTGTCGATTCTTGCAGTATAACTCTGCTCTGCTCTCATTATCATCCCTCTCTCCTTCACTCATTTTCTCCCTGGACTTTCTCTCTCCAAAAATACTCACTCATCCGTCTGCACTGCAGGAGAATTACAGGCCATCTCAGCTAATTCACTGAAAACCATCTGCGCCGTCGAGGCCATTTAAACAGACACCTTCACACCTTTATCACTAGCTCGCTTACTCGGTCCATTATAACCTTCCTCATTAAAGGCCTCGCTAAATATCACAGGCGGCTGCACTTTTTTATTGTCCAAAATTCCCTGTGCAGTTTACTTGAAAGATATGAAAGGAAAATGCATGTTGAGAGGTTTCGTGAGATTCATTTTATGGGTTTTAATTGCACCTGAGAGTGAGTTTTAGTTCACTATAACAACAGAACCACCTGTAACACAAACACATCATATAACAGTCATAGAGGAAAAAATGAGACACTTCAAGAGCTGTAATGGCCCCTCTCGGGTATCGGCGGTCCCCTGGTGACTTCTGCATGTTTACAGGCAGAATCACAGTCTTATTAAACAGCGTCACAGAAACCGTCTCTAATGTCAACAGGCACAGAGCCGGATCTGTGCTAATATTAGCCTCTGCATGACTATCTGACCGCAGTCCTGAGATTCTGCTTCAGAGGACGGCCAGCTGAACGTTTAAGACAACATGATATTAAAGTGGATACTATTTACTGTACTTTCTTGAAGACTCAAAATTGGACTTTTGTGGCTTGTATATTACACTGGCGAGAACCGTGGCTGAGAAAACACTGGGACAATTGATCAATCAATTCGTAAAAATTCACTGGTATTTATCAACAATAGGCAGGACCGTTATATTTTGATATTATTTTTATGCTGTTTAAGGTAGACCTATAATATGAAATGTACATGTTCTGTTACAAATCCTTACAACAAATGAACACAGTCAACAATAAATGCTCCCTGTGTTGTGCAATGGTTTATGAGATTTTTTTTGTGTGTGTGCCAAAAAAAGGTTAATTAACTGATATTGTTACATTGTAAATGATTTAAATGTAATTTTTTTAGACAAATTGTACTTTTCTTTCTTCATCAGGGTGTGGCCAAAGGTTTCATTGGTGCTTTATCATTGCAATTTGATGCAAGCTCTCCCAAGGCACCAAACACTGGCACGTGACCGGACCGCTCCACTGCACCTACAAAGTGTGTGTACTTCCAACACTAAGGCCCAATCCCAATTCTATTTTATACCCCTACCCCTCCGCCTACCCCTTGTCCCTTGAAACAGAGTGTCAAGGGGTAGGGGTGAAAATATTCCCCTAAGAATTGGGACACCACTACTATACTTCACACGTCACCATACGCCGTCTATCTCCTACAATACACACACCTATACTGGTGTGCTGGTGTGCATTAGAGCCTTTAATTACCATTCTATATTAATGCGATGCTTACTGACACACACACACACACACACACACACACACGTACATCAGAGATCGCGCAGCTCACACATCCAGGAGCAAAGAAACTTGTCAACGCTGCCCCACGACTTTTATTAATAACAGTTTAAATACGGAATCACTACATTATATTTTCCAGCAACAAGAGGATAAAATCGCTGTTTTTGAAGTAAGCTCTCTAAAATGAGAAACTCACAGATGCGCATACATGCAACTTTCATCTCTCTCTCTCTCTCGAATTGGCAATATTTGAGAAAATCGTTTAGCGATTTATAATTATTGGTGGGACTAGCCCCCCTCAATGTCTATGGTGGTTATCACCCTGATCAGACATGAAAATATGTTGTGGCACTGTCGTGCAGTCTGTAATGATATGACGTTAGCAAACTTTAGCGATTTTTTGCAAACATTTCTTTGAGTGACATGACCGTAAATATGAACTCATCATTGAATGTAACATAAAACAAATGATTACTTTTCGTTAAAATCTTTATTAATGCCAAAAAATGCTTACATTTGTGTCTCTTTTTGTTCGCTCAGGCAGGAAAGGGGAAGGGCTAAGGGGTAGAATTGGGATTGGGCCTTAAGACTATTGTCTTCATTCCAGGTAATGTGTAAATGTTTAGAGTGCTTACTACAATTATAATGTGCTTTATTGTTCTCAGTGGCATCTACGCTAATATTAGTCTGCTTCATTCTTATTCTGAGGTCACTGTAGCCACCCAGATCCAGACTGTATCCAGATCAGATGGTCTGTAAAGCCGCTTTGACACAATCTGTATTGTAAAAAGCGTTATATAAATAACGATGACTTGACTCAGGTTCAGGAAATATTATGTATATATATATATATATATATATATATGCTACTTTTAAATGTTAAACAGTATATACTATATATATATACTGTAACACCTAGTTCATTTTTTTCTGACTTCTGCCTCAATTTAAAGATGTAATTGTGAACAGTAGTAATATTTATAAATGTTTAACTTGTTTAGCCTTTTTTAAAGTTCATTAAACAAATGT